TTTAACTTCTTTCTCCTCTCTTGATGTCTTCCTCCACTATCCGTTTCCGCTCAGCGACCTTTGGGTAGTGTCTACAGGTAAATTGGGCAATAAGAACATTACCTGAGTGCTAATGGCTGTGAACAATTTCCTCACAGCGGAAAGCTTCGCCCGCAAAGTAGCAATTAGATTATATTCACTCTTTATAGTTAAAACTGAGTATATCTGCAGAAGGGGGGAACTGAGAGGGAGCAAACATCCAACTGGCGGGAGATCTTCAAAGCATTTGATTGCTCTGAATATCCTCATAAGTGTCCAGATAATGCGTGTGGAGAGGAACGGTGAGATAGCAAGGTGAAAGTAATGATGCCTTGTTGTGTCAGATAAGGTGTGTTTATCTCATATCTCCCATGTCTATGCACAATGGGGCCCTTGTGTGGGTGATAGTAAAACACAGGGCTGTTAGAAGACAGGACCCATTAAATGGTCATAAATGTCACACTGCATTGCTTTCTGTTGAAAGGAAGCTTTTGTTTCAAGCGTGGAAAAGAATAAACAGGTAAGCCGGGAAAGAGATTGGAAAGTCAGTCAAGGTTGGAATTCCCCAATTTAGATGGGAAGCAGACTCTGAACCCTGGGCTGTGTCATTTTCTTCTTCATAAGGGTCCACTTTATTAAAGTGCCATTGATTGGCGAAGATCGTTTGTAGAGATGACATTATTAGATTAACACACCACAAGAGACGGCTTTCATTCCAACACAATGTACTTACTCGGATATCTCAGCACACAAATCACTTTTCCTATTTATTCATCTATTATCTAACTAATGCAGCTGTGTTTACAGACGTGCACAAGTGTCGGTACATTTGGTTGTCTCCTGGTAGCGAAGGATCTAATGTGTGCCAGCTCCTGCCTAAGGTTTGGCGATGCAGACTTGGACTAATACTAATTGGGCATTTGTAGGCTGCAGCCTTTAGAGAGATGCGCTAGAAGCATGTTTTCTTATGGCGTCACGGCTGCTGGGGCCGGCTTCACGCCTTTCTGCTGTCAGACATTATAACTCGTCACATCAAAATGCTGTTCAGTGTTAATTCACGGGGGCGACGCCGTCACATAACTCTCACTCAGAATTACAACTCCGAGGCGGATGTGAATATTTTTTCCTTTTCCACCAAACAAGTGGTTGAATTCTTCAGGGGAATGGTAAAATAGTTTTTGATCTATAAAACACACTTTTAAAAAAGGGAAATTTTACAAAATTTTACAAGAAAAATGCATGATTTTGGGCTCAGATGCAGGAGGCCAAAGCGACCATGCCGGACAGAAGAAGATTCACATCCAGAGGGCTGGATGTCATACGGCAAAGCTCAATATTGGTTAATAAATGATGGGGACAGTGTACAGGGGCAGAGAGGAGAAGTAAAACTCTAATAAATTACCCCTATCTCCGTGATGAGACAACATTCATTTTGGTCTCAAGGTCCGGCGGAAAGTGAGCTTATTTGTTCTACACCTTTGACCCTGTGGGAGGAGGTCTCTTCAGCAGGGGTACAGAACGCTGACTCACAACGCACAGGAAGCCTATTGTGCCGCCCCAACCATTTATCACAGCCCTTTACGCTGCGCTCCACACCCGGCGGGAACACTGGTGTGAGCGGGACGCGTCCCTGAAGGCCTCGTGTGTCACAACAAACCTGGAGAGCACAGACAGGGATGTGCACATACGCAGCAAGTCGTGGTGCATCAACCTGTGTGACGATGTTTTCTTCGGGGTCCGTTGCGCTGCGTTGTTGTCAGTTGGGCCACGTTATTGTAGTAGAAGGAAAGGAACTTTCTTAGGTTTCACTTATCAACAGCAGGAAGGGTCTTATCAGTAGGTTAAATAAACCAGCGTGGATCAGTGACCCAGTGGGAGTCGATATTGTGCTGACTACACAGCATGATTAGTTTGAGGACGCGGCGGTGTGTCTCAGGGCCGTGGTAATGATTGAAAATGATGCCTGTAATGGCTGATAAGCTCTCAAATGTTTCAGTCAACTCCCGTTGGCCGCTGCGTTTACTGACACATAACTCGTCGGTAAGCTCTGGCTTTGTAGTTCGGCGTCAAAGGGCCGGCGGCCTCTTTGAATCGAGCGTCTTCTCACGGTGTGAACGTCCCGCCAATGCTCGTAGAGGTCGTGTGCATGTGAGGACATGTGGGAATGAAGGCAGTGAGGGTTTCGATTGTTCAGAGGTGACTTTTAAGTTAATCAAAACTTTTTTCTTTTCATTGCTGTTTGTTTTTGGCTGCTGAAGTGTCCGCAGCAACACTGTAAATCGTCCAGGACCCATCCTGCTGGGCTGGGGCTGACCCCTGACCCCTGAGAGGTTTTCCCTAATGGATGGATAGATTTATAGGTGTGAAGCAAAACTCAATGTTTCTAAAACCTAGTCGGTAAATTGAGATTTTACCCGATGACACTGCTCCTGATTCAGAATGATTATCTTTGGAATATCCGAATACTGCACAAATATCTTGTGAAGTTGAGTCATGTTTCTCAGTGGTGAATTTAAATGTTGAAGGGCTGTCAAGTTAGATTATGTTCATACACGGAGGACGGGTTTCATACCCGAATACTCATTGTGAAACTTGATGCCTCTGTACCACTAAGGAGGACTGTGGATTACCAACAAAGACTCAGACCGGACCCCCCAAAATCCGTGGGTCGACTGCAATCTGATTAATTGAAAACGTATGTAGGAATTTGCAGTACTGAATTGCATCATCAACCAAACCAGGCAGTGTAGTCCCATTATGTAATTGTTCGGCAGTGTCTTGAGGAGGGGCCCTGTTCAAAAGTCCTATCACGTTTAGACAAATAACTTTGGAAAAGCACAAATGCATCAGCGCCATCTGATCCCGAGAGCCAACATGAGCAAAGTGCTGCTCAGCTGAGCGCCGTTTCAGGGCAACGATTCAATTTAATTTGTGCGCCTCTGTCAACAGGCCCGGGTGACGGATTTACCCGCGGCCTGGCTATTTAAATCACTTTCAAATCATAAAAGCAAGGGAACGATTCTTTGGAGGTGGACGAGGTTGAGAGGAACAGGCGGAAAGCAGCACTGATTTCCCTGGAGCAAATTACCTCTATATCAGCGCCGCAGGCGGTAATCTGCCAGATAGGGAACAGCGGGAGACCCACTGAGAGAGAGAGAGAGAGAGAGAGTTGTGCAGACCCGCAACACCGCTCCAATCTTCTGGAGGTCAACCCTTGTGTGTGCCAGCCAATTACCTATCATGAGTTGGGGTCTTGCCGAGATGTGGGTTGGCGTTTTATTCATTTCTGCAGAATGGATCAAAATATGCCCGAGATCATATAGAGGCCTTTTGGGTGGAGTCTGCGGTTGCAACGTAGCTGTAACATCTCGTTGCTTGTCATTGAAGGGATTTTAAGTGAGAGAGCGATGAAGTCATGCTCTGCTGTATAGAGGCAGTTTAATTTAGACAGCTGCAAACGACGATCATTTAAATATGTGCTTTATTAATCACGTGGTCCCTGTAAACTCACTCTTTTTTGTTTGAGTCCAAAATCCACAGATATTGTGTTTTCCATCACAGAAGACAAACAAACGCACTAACAATCCCTAAATCATGGTTTGGGATGAACTAATCAGATTTAGGAGGGCAACGGTCGTGTCCATTCTCAGGAACGTCTTGGCACAAACGTCCACTTGAACTCATGGTTGAAGTGATTAATTGATTAAAAAATATGGACAATTGCAGCGATCATTTTGTGGATTTTTTTTTTTTGGGGGGGGGGGGGGGGGGGGGTTGACACTGTCAGCACTAAAGATTATTTAGAAGCTTAATTTAGGCCCTGAGATCTCTGACCAAATCCTTGCATTCTCATCAATGTTCACTATCTTGAGAGCTTACAGACCTGCAACCATATAGTGATAAGAAGAGTCAGACTACTCTTGCTGCTTTTTTAAAAGAGCATTAGTTCACCTAACAGAAGGCCAATTAACTTCTTTTCTGCCAAGTCATAACCCTTTTATATGGTTTGTCTGCAATTCCTGGTTGTAAACTTTAATTGCATGGGCCTGTGTGAGGATGCAGCCATGAATTAACACTTATTTCTCTTGTTTTCCATTGTCTCATTGTCTTGCTCTCGGATGTTATCCACCAACCGCCACGTCAAATACCGTCTAACATATTTCGCCAATAAACGTTCCTGATTAATATTAATGATTAATTCATTATTGGACAGGCCACAATTTTATTTTTATTTTTTAACTCCACCCAATCAGAAATCTCAAGGCTGCTGATAAACATGTTTGTTTCTAAATTGTGTGGAGAGGGTGTCGCAGCACTAACAATTAGTTTGGACAGTCAAAGCTGTGGATTATTCATTCACGGAAAGGTAGCTGCAAACTATGGCGAGTACCGCTGGCAGTGAGATAGATACTGGAAACACAACCGCCCAATCCTCTAATGTACCTCGGCGCGTTGATGCAGTTGAAGGTGTTTGAGGCGGGACAAGGGTTGGACATTACCTCACTCTGAATGCTTTCTGGGGAGAGAAACGAGCGGGTAATTAGCTGATTAGAGGCCCGTCAGAGCAGCTCCACCTCCAGCCAATCCCAGCTCACTGGCCCCAGCCACAGGAGGTCGGCTGATGGAGTGAGACACGTGCCTCTCTGGGAAGCTGGTGGTAAACACCAGGACGGGCGGGCAGTGCATGTCGCGGAGGGACACGTGCAGGTACACCTCGAGGAAATAGATGGAGGGCTGCGCATGCAAACGTCAGTCGTTTAGTCCGCAAACTAATTGAGCGTGCGTTAATGTTCTCTTTGGAGTTGTTGAATAGCTTGTTTAGTCTCGTCCAGCCTGAGCGTTCGTGAGAAGATAAGGAGAACGCATGAGTCTGTGAGCGGAAGAGGCTCCGCTGCCCGCGCGCTGACGCACGGCACAGGTGCGCACCGCCGAACTCCACGCGTTTGATCCCTTCTTTTTTTTTCTTTTTTTTTTGACTGAAGCCGTCATGGAAAAATCCAAAAACTTCAGAATTGACGCCCTGCTCGCCGATGAGACCAACCGCGTGAGCCGAGACACCTCCCCCGGTCTGAGCAGCGACAGCCCCGCGGGCAGCCCGGTCTCCTGCCGCCGGGCGGACACCCCGTCTCCGCGGGCCGCACAGCTCCAAGGATTAATCCACAAACCCGGGGTTCTAAATCTCCCACATCCGGGACTTGCTTCGATTCCCGCCATGTACCACGCGCCCATGTACCCGTTCTCCGCGTTGGGGGGGCAGCACCCCGCGTACGCGTACACCGGCTTCACGCAGCTCACGCAGTCCTACCCGGAGCACCTGAAGGCGGCTGCCATGGCGGGATCTCTGCCCCTGGAGCACTGGTTCCGCGCCGGGATCATGATGCCGCGACTGCCGGATTACACCAGTAAGTATAGAACACTGCTACAGGTTTGTGCTGACTATATGAAATTAACTTTTAGACTTCATCAAATTAGATTATTATAGCCCCGGAATATTCGGATTTTAAAACTCTTAGTCCAAAAATAACTTCAGAAATGTCTTTTTATTTAAATTCTCCACGACATCTGTATCACTCCGTTATCAGGTTGTACAGCTGTTAATCGGATGGTTTGACCTGTTGTAAAGTCATACAGTCCAATGAAACCGAGTGGATTTTTGACTAAACTATTTATGGTCTTTAGATAATTCATATCAATAGTAGGCTGTTATTCATGTGTGTGATAATACAGTTCATTCATTGTTAACATTCGCATCGTTATTCGTTTTTGCTTGTTTAAGATGGTTGGATTTCCCTTTTGAGTGCACTCAATTTGGTATTGAAATGATATAACTTAAGTGTGCTAATTTCCTCAGTTTTCTTCTGAGGACTAAAAACATATAGTTCTATGCTGCTCTTGAATTAGACACAGAAAGAGGCCGTCAATGATTTTGCTTTCAACGGGAAACGCGCTCTGCAAATAACAGCCACGTCGTCCTCTTTTCACTGGCATGTGTCATGTTTTAATTTCCGCCCATTTATTTCTCTATAAATTCCAGCAGAATGAAAATTGTCTTTGTGTGACGAAGAAACTATAAACAAACACATAACACGTCCTGCAGTTCATCAATAAAAAGCCCAAAGCCTTCATTGGATTTTCATTAAGTTAATGGCGCGCCTCTGTGTTTATGGCCTCTGTAGCCGCTTCTGCCGAGTCCCCCGTCAACAATAAACTGGAGTAAAGCTGTTATAGTTCATGATATAGTTAATGCATATGTGCCTGACTCCAAGCCACAGAACTATATCGAACTTCCTACGCCCTTGGTATTAAATAAATAACACTGCCAGCCGTTATCGGCCAAATGTTTAATATAATACTTTATTTCAGAGTGCATTTTAGATGAATTATCAAAACATAAATATTCAGATGTTGTGGGTTCGTCAATCTTAGATGTAAGGACCCACAGACACTGATAACGTTGCTCTTCCTCCTCCAGTGGGCCCCCAGTCTGGGCTGTTGGGGAAGTGCCGGAGGCCTCGCACCGCCTTCACCAGTCAGCAGCTGCTGGAGCTGGAGAACCAGTTCAAGCTCAACAAATACCTCTCCAGACCCAAACGCTTCGAAGTGGCCACCTCGCTAATGCTGACTGAAACACAGGTACGGGACGGGATGCTGGTGCACTTCTATTCGGGTCCTTAAAAATAAGAGTTAGGCCAGAGCTCATCTTTCCAGGACAAAGTTCCCCGAACTTAAGACACAATGTTCTGCTTTTGCTTTCATCCAGCGAATAGAAGCAGTACACTTATTCAGGATAGCATGTTTCATGTTGTTTTATTCATGGTTGCAGGAAAGCTGAGTGATTGAGGAATCTCAACAATGTGCAGGGTTAACAGAATGATAACACAAAATCAGAGTTTAACAGATTCTTCGTTATGAAATGACAAATTATCCTGAAAATAATCATTAAAACAAACTGTGTCTATTTTGTCACTGTTGAATTAATACTGTACCTTCAATCTTGAAAAACTTATGAATTGTTCAATAAATTATTATGTACTAAATCACACATTATGTAATCATTTAACAAAGATGAGGATATTCAAAACACGCAAAGATGCAGATTGAACACATTGACCCGTCACTGGAATTTTATTTTTTTGTTTTGGGAATATTCTCATGTGTGAACTAAATTATTTCTCCAACAAATAAACCGAGACCTTAATGCATTAAGCTAAGATTTAAATTATATTGTATGTTTCTATTTTCAATTAAATTCGTTCCTGTTCCTTCGTTACTGTTGCATCGATGAATTATATGATCATAGTATTTAATCAACAACATTGACATATTTCAAGTGGTGAAGAAGGACAAAGATAAAGACTATTCTCCGTCTACATGTCATCTTATATTTATAAATGACCAATATTGTTAAACCATATTCTACGTTTTGCGGACTGCAACTTGCTCTAAAATCAAAAACAATATTTAGGATTTAAAATTCATGTATCGTGAACACATTTTCTTTGCTCTGTCGTCCCTCTACAGGTCAAGATCTGGTTCCAAAATCGCAGGATGAAGTGGAAACGCAGCCGGAAGGCAAAGGAGCAGGGCGGCGCATCGGCCCAGTCTCAGGCTAAGCAACTGCGCAACGGGGGCAAAACCGCCACGGACAAATCAAGCGACCGCCGACGCACCGAGGACCCGGACGGCAGGGGGGTAGAGCTCGACCTGGAGGATGGAGAAGAGGAGGACGAGGAGGACGAGGAGGAGGAGGAAGAGGAGGATGCCCACGGTTTCCCTGTTGCGATGCCGCGTGCCACGGACTTCCTGCAGCGCAGCACCGACGTTGGCTACAGTCCACACAGCCCTTTCTCCGATGAGGAGCTGGAGGGGGTGCAGGCAGGAGGAGGTGACAGGAAGATCGGGGCCGGACTCTGAAAACAGGGGGGGGGGAAAAAACCTCCTGACAATTACAGACGCACTGGGACAAGTCTGCGTCTGTGGTCACATGCAGAAAATGCCACAAATATACTTTATGGACCAACTGTGAATAAAATACTGTACATTTCGTAGCATGCCGAGGGAGGAAAAAAAAGTTCTAATTTCCTCCCAAAATGTTGCCGTTTTCGTACCAATCACCGTGTGGTCCCCTTGTGTTCGCGCCCTCCACTGGCGGCCGCAGCTCAGTGAGCGCACATGGCCGCAGGACGCGCACAGTGTTTTCCTCCAGGACGCACAGGAGCCGATAGGCGCAGTTTTCCATCACGAAGAAGAAAACAATGATGTTGGGACCAGAGAAACAACACAAGCTCAAAAACATCTGAAGCTCCAGATGTCTCATGTATCACATTTACTTTGGTGCACTAATGTGTAAATATTGGTGGGATTATGTTGATGTTTTAGAATGTGTTCTCGTCACTTACGTGTAAATTAACTTAATTTATTTGAATGACTGCAAAGATGAATCACTCGTGTATTTGTCTGAAATGTGTTTGTGGTGTACCTGTGAAATACGAAAAATAGAGCGAAATAAAAAAAGAACTGTAAAATGTCCGCGTTCTTGATCCATTTTCATATTGATAATGCCAACATGTATGTTCAGCAGGTATGTTCAACATGTTCACCACGTTGTCATCTTGCAAACATGAAGCACAACCAACAAAGTGCAGTTTGGGCTGATTGGAATCTTACGTTTTTGCAGGTATTTGGTGATGAACATTTTTGTTGGATGGATTTTAATGAAAAGTCAGAGGACCACAAAAGTCCTTGGGATTCATCCTCTGGGGACCATGAATTACCAAACAACATTTCATGGCATCATGGGCATGTTGGGGTAATTCAATCTAGACTAAAGTCAGCACTTTACTGCACTTTACTGCACTTTACAGACAGACAGACATAAAAAGTCATATTAAGACAAACTGACCTGATGAAATGAAAGAAATGCCCAAAACAGACAGAAAACTTTTCGTGTCTCCCTCAACTTCTTTTTCATTCACAGCCGGCGCGCTGCCTCTGCCAATAAGCAACTCATACTTAAATTTTATTAGAAAAGCTCTCAGATATTAATTACTCGGTGGGGTTTACTGATAGCCAAATAATTAAGTGAATGAAGAGGAGGTAAAGCCATCAAAGCCCTGATGGTGATGTCACACAGGCCAACTTTAATTTCTGAGTGCAACAGCATGACGAGTGTAGCTGCAGCGGGGCCTTTTAATGGCCACTCATGTAGGGGGTGTGATTAAAGAGCACATTGGAGGACAGGCAGTGTCATTTGGCCCCTTCTCACACCACATGTTTATATAGTGATTAAACGCATTCTTAGCTGGGTGGACACACACACACACACACACACACACACACACACACACACACACACACTCACACTCCTTTGTAATGATCGGGAGTCCGTTTAAACCAACCCAGTCTCATTTAAACATGCACTGATGGGAGTTTCAGTGGAGACTGGAGCTTTCTGCTCAACAACAATAAGAAACTGTTAAGAGTCTTCATGTCATCAGACTTTATTAGATGTCTTACGCTTAAACGATTAGAATTTGACTTTTCACAGGTTTGCTGCCGTTGGATTAAGGTTTCTTGATTGGGTCCTTACTGTCCCACAGACATTATTTCCGACCAATGAATAAAAAGCATTTTTTAAACCTGTATTAAATGCAATCGAGGCCTTCTGTGGTTTAATAGTATGCTCTGTTATCTGAAGATTTGGGCAAAAATGCTGATGTCATTTCAGCATAAAATGCTGTTAACTTAATATTGGAAATAGTCCACTGTTAAAGACTATTTGTATGGCTAACATTCATTTGCATTGGTATTTCCGTTATTTTCTAATCAATATTACATGAGCGGTAACATATTTTGTTGGAATTTGCTGTTTTCACTATTGCCACTGCAAATGTTTTTCATATTGACATCTTTTACCAGACACAGCGCCACATATAAGGTCACTGGTTTTGATGGCTGGGAATTTGACTAACATTTGAGACAAATGAAGACTGTTCAATTTTAACCAGATATTGCCATGTTATTGCTCTCAATACTACAGTCCATGCACATATCCCACATGTATCATGTTTTAGAATCTGTCAAAGCATATGTAATAATTATTTTAATATATGTCACTATTTTGGTTAACATCTCTCACAATTTGCGACCACATGTTTTAATATAATAGACCATCATTTAGCTAACAAAAGAGCATGACATTCTTTATTTATTTTTTTTAATTGTATTCTTAAAACTGAGGAAACCTCAAGTTGAGCTACAGAACAATGGAAATAAATTGTACACAAAAGCTCAGTAATGTAACTGACAATACCGAATCCTGATCAAACACATTAAAGCTTCAAGTTAACGCGAAGGACATTAGAGGAATTTCCTTTTAACTTTTTCAGACTTTGATTTAAAGGGGGCGAATAGAATACATAACAAGCTTGCAGGCTGAACCTCCATCAAACTGCAGCTTTTAATTTGGCTGATGAAAAGTCATGCGAATCAATAGGAGCTCATTTAGTTGTGTGACCTGTCTGCTGCATGACGAATAGCATTTGGCATGTATTATGACAGAGGCCTCTCACAACAAAAAATCACAGCTAATTGATAAAGCAGTGCGGGGATATATGGAGGTCATTGATTCCGCTTCTCTCCTAATTTAATCTGAATACACCAGTCATGTTGATTAAAAATTCCCTGCGTAAATTACAGTTACTGCTGATAATTCTGTCATTCCTCTCAACATCCAGCCCGACGAAAGTGCTGACGGCCCCACCGCCTCTTTCTTTTTTTTAACCAATAATGCAGGTTGAAGCCTGTGTCTTTCTATTAAAAGGTGTCACTGTCTATTGAATCACTCACATCGCCCCTGAGACGTCACCCCGCCATCCCAGACACGCAGCGGTTACCAGAAACTCGCATTTTCGTAGTTAAACAAATAAATTTGGCCCCTTTTGTTGCGCTCTCTTAGATTATAAATCAGGGAGCCCTTCAAATACTTGCACCCCGTGGTTTCATCAATCCGCAAAATGTTGGACTCATTACGTAGATATGAACAGATTGTCCGATCTTTTAACGCAATCACGCGTATTGGCGCAGGATTTTCCCCGGGCTCCGTCCTGTCACTTAACTAATGGGCGAGGAGAGGCCTGAGTGACGGGGCCTCGTAAATTCACATCTGTCCGACTTAAAACGCTGTTCCAAAGCAGGAAAAAGGCACCGTTATTGCCAATAAAGTTTATTGAAAAGGCCTGGCGTGTATTCATGAGGGTCCGTTATTGCTGCAGGAAACGTCTGTTACAGGTGTTTTGCCAATTCTAGTGGACGTAGTGATGATGCTCGTTGTTCTTAATGTAACCTTCAGATCTGCTGTTGAGCCAAAAGATCGTCCCACTAATACGGGTCATATCTGTAGGTAAAATACTTTTGATACAAGAAAACGTTTCTCCTATATTCATCATATGCACAATATTTAACGAAGCAGTGTATAATGTGTATAAAACGAAATGAGAATTAAAACATAAAATAGTGCAGGTTCAAATGTGAGACCAAGTAGGGCACGAATAGAAAAATACCTTTAAAAATAAAAACCTGTACCAAAAATGGTTTGGACACAGCTTCGCAAATATGTCAGCCTGTCCTCATCAACGTTTATGTGCGGATGTTAATAAATAATTAACATGAAGCTGTTGTCTTTTACTATGAATATTGGCCACGCCTGCTCCCTAGTGGCAGGAAGAGAAAACGACTCGCCTGATATCACGCAAATCCCTAGAAGTGATCGAATGTATAAGAATAGGCTTTCTGCACCATGTATACCCCAATACAGACTTACATTTTTAAGATATGATATGTATATGAGTAATTATTAAGAGTCGTCAAAAGATAACTGTTTAAATTAGAATATAAACACATGTTCATTCTCATCTAGGGTTGCCACCTTTAGTAAAGAATCCGGGACGCTACGGCCAACGGACTGCGGTCATGTGGACCGCATTTAAAAATAAAATGCACCTCTATTCCAGGCGTTGCGGTACAATGGCTTGTACAAAACTGTCTTTAAACTAGATCCAAAAACGGTAACACTCTGCTTTCATTGTTCCTATTTCATGTTGACCTACTCTATGCTCATGTACATTTCCATGAAATACTACTGTATAGTTTTACTTTTCTCAAAAACTACCCATGCTTTCATCGCAGACATGCGTTTTTTGTTATTAGCACTACTATTGTTGTCTTTTCTCAGTACTTCCTGAATATCCCTCCTTTTATGCGCATTTCTTGCGCCGAGTGGCTCTTTTGGGTGCGCTCGGTTTGTCAGAGGGGCGGGCCCATCGGGAGATATTTATATATATAACGGCTTTATATGACAGTGGGCGGGTCCTTCCCAGTTCTGAAGCACGTGCTGGAGCGGTGAAAACCAGTCGAGCGTCTCTCATCCTCCTCAGCGTCTCGCCGCGTGCCCGCTGGTCCACGCGAAGCCAGAACAGGAACCCGCTCTCCATCCGCACGGAGCTCACACCGGAGCCCGCAGCATGGCCTCCCCGGAGCTCGGTGAGACTCTCCCGCCACTAGGGAGTCCTTCTGCGACGTCAGCGCGCCTAGCCGGTCGGCTAACGTTAGCAAACGTGGTCGGCTGCGCCTCGTTCAGACGCGCCGCGACGTCTTCTTTTAGTGACCGTAGAAGGAAACGCGCATGACGGGTGTTGTTGTGTTTAAATCTCCTCATTTCTCCACGCAGCACTTTTGAGCGTCTCGGACAAAACGGAACTGGTGGACTTCGCCAAGAGGCTGGCGGGTGTCGGCCTGTCGCTGGTCGCCTCGGGCGGCACAGCCAAAGCCCTGCGGGATGCTGGGCTGGCTGTCAGGTGAGTGCTGAACACCCCCCCCCCCCCCCCAAATCTCCCCCAGCGCCCCATAGGGGCGTCTGACCTGTCAGTGCCCTGTGTCTCTGCAGGGACGTGTCGGATCTGACTGGACACCCAGAGATGCTGGGGGGCAGAGTGAAGACCCTGCACCCCGCCGTGCATGGAGGCATCCTGGCCAGGAAAAGCCCCTCCGACACCGCCGACATGGAGAAGCTGGGCTACGGCCTCGTCAGGTGGGGGGACTCATTTTGTAAAACGCTCCCCTCCTTGTGATGACATGGTGGGTATTGACTCGCAGACGAGGGGGCCCCGTTAAGTCAAAGCACGATGTCCTGTAATGTGGTCAGAGGACAGACGTGTGTTGTCCTATTAGGAAGCACGTGTATTGGATCCTGTGACTCTCATGTGTTCATCACAGGAAGAAGAAGAATGGGGCGATTTAGACCAGAGAGTTTGCAGATGTGTCAATGGAGAATTGTACTAAACCCCCACCGAAAATTGGATTAACTCAGAGATCTATATCTATTAGGATGCGAGAAGACGTGCACGCTGTAGAGCAACATGTGTAGTGTTACTGTGATTAAAACGACTCCTTCAATGTGAGGATGAGTAACTTTTTGAGGCGGCTGTGGACAAAAGCTGCATCGAAACGCATCAGCTTGGGCGTCGGAGATTTTGACAACCTTTTTTTTTTTTTTTCTTTAGATACCAGAGTTGAAACCATAAATGATCAAACACGGATTATTGCAATTTCATGTTGCTTTAGCAGATTGATTGTGTGATTATAATCCTGTAGTTTTTCCTCTACTACAGGGTTTAAAGAGGATTGACGCAAGCACATGCATTCGAGTGCAGAAAGTCCTGACATCAGTGCCGAGATTCCTTGTTCTCATTCATTTAAAACGTTTGAGCACACAGTGATCAATGACCACATTAGGTCCCCGATCTTTGTAATGGGTCCAACTGATGACCGATCTTTCCGTTTGAACATTTTATGGGTGGGGGGTTCAACTTGAACAACTCTCTCGATTCACTCTGGGAAAAGCATTTTGAACACTGTGTGAAAGCTCCAATTAAAGAAGTCAGTCTCCCTGCACGCACCCTCTTGTTCCTCATATTGATCTTTCTGGGTGTGTGCTTTCTAAGAGTGGTGGTGTGCAACCTCTACCCGTTTGTGAAGACCATCTCTAACGCGGCGGTCACCGTGGAAGATGCTGTGGAGCAAATCGACATCGGTGAGTTGTGCGGATGAGGTTGTGCGCTTGTGGAACAACATCTGATGTTTCACGCTGCGTTAGAAAATGTCTGGTAACGATCAGTGTTCCATCTTCCCAGGTGGCGTAACTCTGTTGAGAGCAGCGGCCAAGAATCACGCTCGGGTCACTATAGTTTGTGATCCGGCTGACTATTCAGTGGTTGCCAAGGAGATGGAGGGTTCAGGAGACAAAGATACTACCCTGGAAACCCGAAGGACTCTTGCCCTCAAAGTAATCTTCCCTTCTTTTCTCCCCATGACTTTACGTCATTGATCTGCATCTACGTGACCTTTCTGACTGATCGTTTTCTGTTTGCTCTGTGTGATAGTAATTTGAGTTTTGGACTGTTGGTCTGAACAAACAAGATGTTTGATTTATTTTATCTGTGACTCTGGAAAATCCTGATGAGCAATTTGAAATCTCTTTTTTTTTTTTTTTTTTTTTTTTTTGTAGTAAAGACTTCAATCAGCCGTCCTCAATACTCTTATCAAGCATCCGTTAGCCCCGCCCCTTCACTGTCTTCACTCGTTCCTCTAGTCTCAATTATTGTAAAAAGAATTGCGTACAGAGGTTGCAGGTTTTAACCTGATCTTTTCATTTTAGTGACCTGTTATGTGCTTCGGTTTAAATACTACACATATGTTTATCACTCGACAATTGTGAACGTGTTGCAGTTTGCCGCTATGGAACGCCGCAGGTGATGTATACGTTTTGGTCTCACCGGGGTGCATTTGTTTCTGTGCTCTTCAGGCCTTCACGCACACGGCGCAGTACGACGAGGCCATATCGGACTACTTCCGTGGGCAGTACAGCCGCGGCGTTTCCCAGCTGCCTCTGCGCTACGGCACGAACCCTCACCAGGCGCCCGCCCAACTTTACACCGAGCGCTCGGCCCTGCCCCTCAAAGGTCGACCCAACACCTCCACCGTCTCCGCTGACCCGAAACCTGTCACTGTTGTTTTTTTTTTTTTTTAACTGAGTAGTTTGGAATTTTGGGGTAAAAATGTTGCTTACCGGCTGAGAATTAAATTGGAAGATTAATGGCGCTCTTGCGTGCAGCTATTGCCTGATTAGCTGAGCTTTTCACAAAGACTGGAAATGGTGGATAGAAGCTAAAATAAACAAAATTCAATATCCAGCAGTTCTAAAGCTCACAAAGCGCTACTTGTTTTGCTTATTTTGTAGAGGAAAAAGTGTAGAGATTTCCTTCAATCTGACATTTTGCAGAAGGTTGCATCTGTCACCAGAAACCTATTCTGTGCAGATGACAAATGCGACGCAGGGATTTAGTCCGTAATTCCCCCTGAAACAAACACGTCGGTGAGGAGTTAATCCATTAAACGACAGGAGTCGAGGGAGAAATCGATTCATCCTGACGCGTCCTCGTTCTTCTCCGTGCCCTCAGTGGTCAACGGCTCCCCGGGCTTCATCAACCTGTGTGACGCTCTGAACGCCTGGCAGCTGGTCAGGGAGTTGAAGGGCGCCCTCGGCATGCCCGCCGCCACCTCCTTCAAGCACGTCAGCCCCGCTGGTGAGACAAAAAGAGACGCGCGGACGCGCTTTGATTCAAACCTAGTGCCTCTTTTTGAATGTGACCGCGACTCTCCGTGTTTCCTCTGTAGGTGCTGCGGTTGGAGTTCCTCTGAGTGAGGAGGAGGCCAAAGTGTGCATGGTGCATGACCTGCTGAAGGACCTCAGCCCACTGGCCACGGCCTACGCCAGGGCCAGAGGCTCAGACCGGATGTCTTCTTTTGGAGACTTCATCGCTGTGTCGGATGTTTGTGACGTTCCCACGGCCAAGATTATATCCAGAGAGGTAAAACGCTTTTCTTTAAGAAACGATTTGCTGGAGTGCTACTTTGCTAAACCACAATTCCATCTGCTTGCTCCCAGGTGTCTGATGGGATCATTGCACCTGGGTATGATGAGGAGGCACTCAAGATCCTCTCCAAAAAGAAAAATGGCAACTACTGTGTGCTTCAGGTGAGAATTGATTATCATCTGTATTTTTGTATTTGTGAATAAGGAGCTAACTTGAATGTTGTTTGCCCAAGATGGACCCAGACTACGAGCCCGACGAGACGGAGGTGAGAGTGTTGTTCGGTCTCTATCTCAAACAAAAGCGCAATGGAGCCCTCATCAATAAGGAGTTCTTCAGCAACGTGGTCTCCGACGGCTCGGTGAGTCTCTGTAGTGTATATTCACTTCTCACTCGGCTTGGTCCTTTTTTGTAAAATCATCATTGACACAATTCTGGAAAAATCTAAATGCCAAGTGCTCAGCCCTGTTTGTTTGTTTGTTTGTTTGTTGTCAAGCTCTCGGAGGAAGCGGTGCGCGACCTCATCGTCGCCACCATCGCTGTCAAGTACACGCAGTCCAACTCTGTCTGCTACGCTAAAGATGGCCAAGTAAGAACCGGCAGCTGTAAGGAGGAGTAGCCTGGATGCACCACATGTTTCCCTGCTAATGTTCGTTTGTGGTCTGTTTACCAGGTTGTCGGTATTGGTGCCGGTCAACAGTCTCGTATCCATTGCACGCGGCTGGCTGGGGACAAAGTGGACAACTGGTGGCTGAGGCACCACCCTCGTGTCCTGGCCATGAAGTTTAGCAGCGGCGTGAAGCGAGCGGAGATGGCCAACGCTATCGACCAATACGTCAGCGGCACCATTGGGGAGGTAAGGGGGGCGACCCGGGCACATTTAGGACAAAGTCGTAGTTAAGATTAGTAGGTTTTTTGTTGTTTGCACGTCAGATGAGTGCATAAACAACCAGAGAAGTTGCTGTCCTGTGGGTCGTTGTGACTGCAGTGGTGTGTTACTCCATTTTAACTACGTTAAACACGGAGTGTTGTACTTGATAAGCAGCCTCCACAGTTCTGAATGTTCTGCCATCATATTGGAGAATTACATCAGAGCTTTCTGAGTCCAGAAAATTGTGTGTGAATCTAATTTGAGGTTTAACACTGGTAGTCCAATTGGCTGATTATCTGTTAGAATAAATAAATAAATCAACACACTGACTGTTATCAGTAAGTGAATAATGAAGTTTCGTAATACTTTTACATTTGCATGCCTTCTTTCTTATTGCTTATTGCCATTGCTAGATTGGATTTCACCATATTTCCTCCCTCGGATCTGTATTAATAGTTCCCCCAGTACACGCGGCCCACTAGTGTCATGTCACGGTAGAGACCTTGAGGGTAAATGAAGTATCCGTTGTTGGGACAGGGCCCAGACCTCGCAGTTTGGAAGTCAAAGTATGAAGAGGTCCCCGAGCCCCTGTCAGACACTGAGAAGAAGAACTGGGTGAGCTCCCTGCAGGCCGTGGCTGTCAGCTCTGATGCCTTCTTCCCCTTCAGAGATAACATCGATCGTGCCAAGCGGGTAAATACAACACACCTTTTCCAAAAGCATCGTCTCTCACTGTATATACGTTTGTTAAGAAACTTACAGGACATGGCTTGCAGACACCTGCTTGTAAACTCTCAGAACACTGCTGAGCCGTTACGAACGTTGCTTCCTCCTCTTGTTTCTGTTTGTAGAGCGGAGTGAAGTACATCGCGGCCCCGGCGGGCTCTGCTGCCGACCAGGTTGTGATTAATGCCTGTAACGAGCAAGGCATCACTCTGGTGCACACCAACCTGCGGCTCTTCCACCACTGAGAACCTCGGCGCTTCTCCAGGTGTTCTTCCAACTCAACTCAGTTTTTGGATCATCGGAGCCAAACTCTCTGTAGCCATGCTGATACTGGAAGCACTCATAGCCTCCTCGTGCTCAAGTGTAAATGTTACAACTGTTTTCTCACACATTAACATTTTAGCTGAGACCTCAAAGAGCTGCATTAACTGTTAGTGTTCCAGTGAGGTCAGTAACTTTCTGTGTGAAATAAACTGAATCACAGGTCATGGTTTTGTCTTTCTTTGCCTTTTACCGTCTGTACGTCCAGGTCTTGTGACTTTAGGTTCATGCTACAATTTAACTTGGATAACTAACTAAATGCTAAACTTTGACAATAGTCTCAAACTAGACATTTTTCACTGTTTCTATTCCTTAAACCTCTTGGTTCTAAAACAAAGAAACATGTTCTTGGGTTTTGGCATCTCTCCTGCTTTATTCAAATAAGGGACTTTTTGTCAAACGGTAGAAACAACATTGGCAACAAAGTATAAAAATAGAACAGTTCCGATTTCTCACATTCACACATTGAGATTAAAGGGATAAGTTAGTAGAAAGACTCGTGTCAATCACACAGTGTGTGACCCCTCAGTAAGATACAGAAAAGACCCACCAGTTCTGGGACAATTTAACACCGCGCTCTTCTTTCCAAAGGTTTCTGCTCTTTTTGATGAGTATGAATATTTAAAAGGATCTCAATTTGAATAGTAAATCTGAGTCCTATATTCTACTGAATTACACACAGAAGGATAATTTTCCCAATAATAGTTTTCATTTTACAATTGAGTATGAATTTAGAGCCTTGAGAGTGCACAGTGAAAAGACCGGCTTTAGAGGTGGATCGCTTTGATCGGGCCAGTGTGACATCTATGGATAAACGTACAAAAAGTGATAAGGCGGTTATGACAGTGAGACAGTGCATAATTGGACAAAAAGGGAGCAAAGGCGATGTCCACAGCTTCACTCCAGAGGACTCTGAGGAACGTGTGTGTCTGCCAGCAGGTCCGGTCGGAGGCACTCGATGGGGCAATGAATGTTCTGGAGGCAGAATTGAAAGGGATACGGTTACATGTCCGGGTAATATGTTCAGTTTCCAAAGTGAGGTCTTGAATGTATATTATAAAAATACTGTGTGCCATAGAAAATACCATAGTATATTATGCAATGAAAAATTAAATCCTAGTAACTCATAAAAAAATTAACAAAAGAGTAAAGCAGCTGTAAACAAAGTTTGCACAAAAAGTATTAAAGGTTATAAAAAGTATTGAAAAGTCATAAAAGTGTCACTATAGTATGTTGACAAAAACAATAGAGTATGTTAAAGTCATTGAAAGTAATTGTATAGTATGTCATAACACATGCTGTATAAGAATGTTACGGTATATAAAAAGTTAACATTGGACGCATTTATATTAGTATATTCTGCAACACAAATATACTAAATGTAATTATGTGGTATGAGTAGTGTGCTGGATTATATCAAATGTCAGAAAAAATGTTTGCCATTTGTAAACATACTGGGAAATCATTTGCTTAATTTAAAAAACATTAACTAACTTGTACTTTGTGTCCGTATCTCACAGGCTGCACCAGACCGGCATCAACATCCCCCCCTGGTCTGCGGCAGTTCTCACATCTCCAGCCCTGATGACACCAAACGCACACACATGCTTTATTTAACATGCAGAAGGACCACAAGTTCATCACAAGTCATTAGGACACAATTATAACACAAGTCACAATATGTATCACTAAACATCAGACCCAAAGCCCGGCCGGTTTATCTGTCATACCTGCTGTCCTCCAAAGCAGGTGCAGGTGCAGATGGCACCCTGGTACTCCTTCTGCCACTGGTTTCCCACCTGGTAAGATTTGCCATCATCATAGCACACCGAATCATCTGTTTGGGAAAACATCGACGTTTAAATTCAAAATGGAACTCCTCCACATCCTTTTTTTAAGACAGTTGTGGAATATTTCATAGGATCTTTTTAAAAAAGAGGCCTTACGGGGTTCACACTTGAACTCTCCTTTGCCATTTCCCAAGCAAGTACAGCTCATCAAGTGACCGTTTTCTGCGCGGCGGTCCCACCTCTGTCCAATGCGATAGTTGTTGCCATTGTCATGGCACCACTCTGATGATGAGGTCATAATCAGGGAAACCAAATAAAGTATAGTCTCATTTGAACGATGCGTATGCACCTCCAGGATATAAAACGTCCCAAAAACTCACTAGATGAATCACATCTGAAGTGGCCACTTCCCAGACCGAGGCACCTGCACCACAGCTTGAAGCCCGTCTCAGACATCCGCTCCCATTCACCCCCGACATCGTGGTAGGTTGAAGTAAAAGCATCATAACACAAGTCCTGGCTGGAGGGCACTGTCTCTGGGACTGATGGAAGACGGCAATTAGTGAAGATAACATTTACTCGGAGGAGGTTCTGCTGTCACGTTGACCGTGGGAGATCGAAAAAATGCCTCTGCCACTGAAACAAAGGCTCTTAATGAGAATAAGTTGTTTTACACTAAATTCTGGGTTAGTCCAGCCCACTGCTTGCTTACTTGTGTTCCCAACGGTCACGACCTGCTCCATTATCTTGTGTTTGAGTGCCCCCATCAGAGCCTCAACGATCACATTGTAGTTTGCTCCGGGGGAGAGTCCTATCAGGGTGGCAGTGGTGGCTGTGCCTGGAAGGCGGACCTGGAGAGGAAAAGACACACAGATGATAATTAGTCTAATAAGACTGATAAATTATGCTCAGACAGCGCGAGTGGCCGCAAGGTTTTCTTACCTGGAACATCTTCTCATCTAAGTGTGTGAGGGGATAGCAGGACACCATGTAGGCGTTGCTCTGCCTGTAAGGCTTCCAGGAGATGGAAGTCTTAGTTTGGGCCTCCTGCGGCACATCTGTCTCGTTATCAAACGTGGAACCAATCGGCAAGTTCAGCTTCAGGATGGGCACTCTGTGGCCCTCTGCATCAGGGAGGGGCAAAAAGACCAGGGACTCACGATCTTGCCCATAGGGATACTGTGGGTTGCCACCGTTCCCATTGTATTTGTTGTTGTCTCCGTTGTTGTTGTTGTTGTTGTTGTACTCTGTGTACTCCACAGTCTGGCTCTGACCGCCATGCCCCTCCTGGTCATTGTTGCCCGCTACCTGGACTGTGTTTTCCAAGTCAGTTTCAGGCACATCCAGCCCGCCCCCAGAACCTCCGGGCCGGTTGGGCAGAGGCAAGGGAAGCAAGGAGTCTGGTTCTGAGCGGGAGAGGGTTAGGGAAGCGAGCAGGTTAGATGTGGGTGGGGTTAAAGCAGAGCTGCAGTAACACATCTCAGCCAACAGGAGGCGCCTTATGGTCAGCATAGCCGGGCTGCTGCTTCACTGCAAAGTGTGTCTCGCGGCAGTAATACGAACAAAAATGATATTTTGAATGGCATTTCTGGAGGCATTCAAAATGAAAAGGCTTTATTATTGTTATAGGAGAACTAACGCAGATTGACTGCACAGATCATTTTAAAAACTCCGGGCTGTTGCAGCAAGGCATTTTAATTAAGCAGATTAAAGCTTCCATTTCAATCAATTTGTAGCCATAACGTTTTTCAAATGCATCTCCTTGACCATCACATTTGGCAATGTACAAAATACTCACGAGTCCTTATTTTGCCCTCCAGAGGTGTGCTCCGCTGAGTGTTCTGGATGGCGATGATCTTGATAATGTATATGGTTGCTGGGCTCAGGCCTGAGGAGAGAAAGAAATATCATGTAATGGAATGAGTTGGTTGCGCCTGACTCGTGAATATGTGCAGAAAAGGAAAAATGTAATTTGCTGCAGCCAATTAAATAAAAAAAACTTAGATTTCAATCCCAAAACAAGTCCTTTATAAAGATCTCCAGCGGCAATATAGTTTTTAGGTGAAATGCACAGGTTGACAGGGGCTTACCAGATATGCTGGCATAGTTTTGGCCGGCATGGGGTCGGGGGTTGAGCTCCTGTGGCTCCCCTCCTAACTCCTCGTAGGTGACGTAGTAACCTGTGATCTGTGTGGAAGGTGGCTGCCAGGTGAAGGAGATGGAGGTGGGGGTCACAGATGAGAGCTGGAGGTTGGTGGGAGCCTGGACCACTGGTTTAGCTATGGAAAAACAAACTCTTATTAGGTCATCTGATTGCCTGTTGCTTTTTGTGTGCATTGAAGGGTTACAGTTGTGATTTATGTCAAATACTACAGCGCATTTTGGTTTAATAAGCTATTAGTTATTAGTTGTTAAAAACATTGTCGTACGCAGTGAGTGAAAAGTTGAAAAAAATAATCTTAATTGATATTGCAGATACAATCCTAAAAATGTCTACTGTGGCTGAATTTAACTAAATCCTTGTGTACCTTATTCTTTTCATCTCTCTGCCCCTTTTGCATACATAAACATTGCACTGGATTTCCACTGGATTTACTGTATGCAACGAGGGAGAGTAATAAAGCGCCAGCAACTACATAGAGATCAACAATTATGGCCGTGAAGAAATATGATTTAAGTTTCCATTTTAAAGTGTGGAAGGTAGTTTGGCGCAAGTGGATCAGACAGAGGTTGATGTACCCACCTGTTGTAAAGCGGATGGGAAACGGTTCACTCTTGGTGTTGCCCTTCAGAGAGTACATGTTCCCAGAGTACATTGTCCCTGGCTGCAGACCTTATGAAACAAAAGGCAGAAAAAAGGTGTGATCACATCTCCAATACTAATGTCTTTGAAGGTCTCGTCAGCAGGTAGTGCTACTGTACCTGTGAAGGTGTAGGTGGTTGCATCTCCTGGGATGGTCCTGCTCAGGGTTGGTTCCGAGCCACTGACGGGCGTGACATCGATGAGGTAACCAGTGATGTCGTCCGTCTTGGAGCGCCAGGTCAGCGTGAAAGAAGTTTCCTTCAAATCGATGATGCGAACGCGCCGAGGAGAACTAACCTCTGCATCGAAGAGGAAAATAAACAGGCATCAAACAGGGAAGTGCACAATAGCTGCTGATGACTGCAAATGTGTGCGTGCCAGTTACCCTCCAGCGTGGTTGCCTCTCCCTCCAGCGGTCTGCTGGTGACGGATTTCTTCAGAGCATAGACATGTATCTGATATGTAGTAGCCACCTGCAACATTCAGACAGACAGTTGATATTCAATCACTGGCTGACAATGAATCCCTGTAAATACTGAGAAAGGAATTCTCGCTACCATGAGCCCTGGTACGACAACACGCGTGGTGTCCGGAGCGACGTTCATCTCTTTGGTGGGGCCGTTGATGTTCTTAGGGTTGACGACCACGCGGTAGCCTGACAGGAGGGCATTGGAGCCTCGCCATGACACGGTGAAGGTGGAAGGACCCACATCGGAGATCAACAGGCTGGTCGGAGCAGGGATCACTGAGACGGCAAATGCACATTTAGAATCGGAGTCAGGGGACGTATCATTTGGATTGTAAATGTGTTGAACCTTGTCTATGTGTCTCTACCTGTGGCCTGGGTGCCCACCAAAGGTGTGCTGGGTCTGCTGCCATGGAGGGCGATGACTTTGACAGTGTACTCTGTCCCAGGGCGAAGGTTCCTAAGGACCACCGTGTCCTGGTCACCTCTGGGTGCTGGAAGTAGCTCCCTCTCGCGCTCCTCTGAGCTGGAGTACATGACGCGGTATGATGTCACTGTGCCGTCGGGACTGTCCCAAGTGATGCGCATGGAGTTTGAGTCGATGTCAGTGAAGGTCAGGTCCTTGGGACGGTCCATAGCTGCAGGGTGGGGAGAAGAAAAGGGGGATTTCCTGTCAGCTCTAAGCTGTTGTCTTAAAGAATATACACTTGGTATAACATGGTATTTAAAAACAGCTTAAAGCGAGATGGACGTTTGAGAGGAGACTCAAGCCTCCAGAAGTAATCCAGCTGGGGAACGTTTGCCCAGTACTCCATCCTGTTTATGAGGACAGGTTTCTGAACTGAGTCAAACTAACCAGTGAAAGCATTCTCCACCACGGGGGAGGAGGGTTGTCCATCGTTGCCCAGGGCATAGACACTCACAACGTACTCAACAGTGGGCATCAGACCTGTGAATGTTATCTCAGTCTGATCTGTAACAGAGAAGCAGAATATGAGCTAATAAGTCCGAAAAATATATTAAATGACCTTGGTGAAATAAAAATGGCAACTTTTCTTGGCTTGACTTACCAGGCGCCACCACTTCAGAGTAGGAGGGTCCCAGGCCGGCTTTGGGGACACATGTGACTCTGTAGCCTCTGATTGGTCCCTGAGCAGGAGACCAGCGCACAGTGATGGCGTTGTCACTCACACCAGTCAGTTTCATGCCAGTGGGGGGCTCGGTGTCTAATAGACGGACGGACGTGTAATGGGATTTAGATTTGGTTTATAACCCCCCTCAATATTTCTTCTAACCAGGAAGAAGTTTTTTCGCGTTGCTGTACCAGTCTTGTGTGTGATGTAGACCGGGGTGTTGGAAGCAGGGCTGTCCCCTCTTCCGGTAACAGCATAGACCGTGATGGTGTAGTCGGTACCGGGATTAAGACCGGTGATTGTGGCGTCGGTCTGACTGCCTGGGATGGTGAACTCCTGGGGAGCCTCCCCTCCTAGGAGGAGAGTGAAGAAGAGCCGAGTGTAACGTTCCCCATATTGTTGAGGTTAAGAGGAAGCTATTACCGCTACGACTCAAGAAACGTGTACAGACTTGTGCCTCCATAGGTGATCCTGTAGTTCTTCACTGTGACAGAGGGGGCGTCCCAGCGAATGGTGATGCTGGACGGGGTGGATGATGTTACTTCCAGGTCAGTTGGAGCATCAGAGACTGGAGAGGATTAGAAGAACAAAGGAATAAAAACACAATTTAAACGTCTAGTTCAAACCAATAATCAAGGTCAAGATTAATTAATAATTAGTGTCACTAAGAGAAGACAAGAAGAGGTTGTAGTGGAAACCAGTATGGAAACTCACTGGTGGCCTGTGTGCCAGTCAAAGGCTGACTCTCCTGGTTGTTGTTGACAGCATACACTGACACCAGATACTCTGTCTCTGGTGTCAGTCCGGTCAGAGTGAAGTGGTTCCTGCTTGGGGGCAGCCTCTCGTCTTTTGACCGCCCGCCGGTCGTCTTCTGGAAGTTAAGGCGGTAGCCGGTGATAGCGGCGGTCGGAGCCAGCCAGTGAATGATGAAGGAGTTGGTGCGAATTTCGGAAAAGTCCAAGCCAGTCGGAGAGTCCAGAGCTGCAGGTCGAGGTAGTAGGAGAGATACTTTAGATGACAGGCAATGATAATGACAACTACAACATCCAAGGGATTGGTGATTTGGACTGGTGTCATGATCCGGGGGCCCTCAAACAAAACGTGCATACACATGCAACCATAGATGAGAGGTAACACCATGGATATATATTATAATGGGCAAATGATGCGTGTCGTTTTGGTCGTCAAACTTGATATGTCTCAAACGTGAAATGGTTGGCGAGAGTAGAAAATGGAAATATCTGTTATACTCACTGGTCCTCTGAGTCCCTGTGGCTGGCTCACTTGCTCGTTCCCCGTACACACAAACAACACTTATACGGTACTCAGTGTTGGGCAGCAGGTCTATTTTGAAAGAGGGAGCTAGTTAGCAGGGCTTGATATAGAGCATTGCAAATAAAAACAAGTAATTTTTGCTGTAAATCTAACTTTCTGTCAGACACTTTTAAGCAGATAATCTTACTCTCCAGCACGAAGGTGTTGGTGGCTCCGCCAACATTAACCTCTTTGATGTCGTCGTCCGTGGCAACAGGGTGGTAACGGATGACAAAGCGAGAGATGTCGCTTGGCGTGGCTACATGGGGAACGGCCCATGTCACCCTAATGTGGTCCGGACCCACCCCTCTAAACTGCAGGTTGGTGGGAGCTGGAATAGCTGTAGGAATGAACAGCAGTTATAGCTGACACCCTTAAGAGGTTAAGTAAATAAAAACAGATTTACAATGACATATAGAAAAACAACTGCAAATATACTGTAGTACATACATTATGTCTGTTAATAAAAGGGCAGTTGATGTGCCTGCATTCATTCTCTCAGATCAAAACCCAATCAGATGGAGTGAAAGAGTTAAATCACCAGCTTGTGTTTGCTTTGTGTGAGTGGTCGGCTCGCTTTCCCCCTCCCTTGTAACAGAGGAGATACCGATGTCATAGTCCACACCCGGCTCCAAACCACGAATCGTGTAATAACCAGCAGACGGTTCCACCATATCTTGAAAAATTGGCAAGCTCTCCCCCGACGTTACTACCGTTATCCGGTAACCAGTAATGGTAGCATAGGTCGGAGGGATCCAGCGCAGGCCAATCGTGGTGTCAGTAATGTCGACAAAGTCAATGTGACGTGGCGTGGGGATGTCTGAAAGGGTTAGGTCAGTTGGAAAAGTGCAAGCAAAATTAGAGAGACAGATAGACCCAATTGGAAGTTAATTTCCAGTTAAGCCGTCAGACATCCAGAGTTGAACATTAGCCATGCTAGATAGAAACAATTCCAAGTGACCGAAGTCAGTGAACATTCACACTTTATGTTATAAATTAAGCAGTAGTTATTTATACTATTCAGGGCATGCTCAGAATAATTGTATTCCATTCCCAATTAATAAACGTGTCCTCCATGCATGTTACCAATTATCATGTTAGTAATAGGTTATGGTCATGTATTTTTACAAAGGGGTTGCTCGTTGGAACAAACCCGCAGAGAATAGACCCCAAATCGGCAGCTCCATGGCCTATTTCCACAAAAGATCAGAGACCTGTCTGTCAGGTTGTAGGTTGGTGTTATTCTGCTCTCTAGTGGCCAGAAATCCATTAATGAAGCTTCATGAATGTATTCCAACTCAGGTTTATACGTATATGTAGGGCAAAGGTGGAGAGAAATACACCGTGGCCATTCTGAGAACATTCTTTTAATGACAGGAGTGAAATATTGGACTGGGATCCAGTTGGACTTCTTACCTGGTGTGATAGTTGTGGACACGGGCACACTTTGCAAATGGTCCTTGGTAGTGAAGACACTGATGTTGTACTCGGCCCCCAGGTTTAGGTTCTCTAGCATGCATGAGGTTTGATCTGCTGTGACAAACTCTTCCAGGGTGTTTCCTCGCTGGCCGTCGGTCGGCGTGCTTGTCACCCTGTAGCCCGTGATGCCTGCAGAGGGTGGGGGAACATGACAAATAGAGGAGGTTAAACTCAATGTCAAGAGGTTCTTGCAATTGATGAGTCAAAACGAAATTCCGAGAAGACACAGTTCTCCTGGTGGAAATAAATATGCTTCAAAGGCCAAGGTTTAGACTTTAGGCAAGATCCAATGAGTTGCCAGTGCGTGGGGAGCACAGTCAATATTTACCTGGTGCTTTGGAAGCCGCCCAGTGGACAGTGAGAACTCCTGTGACAGGGTTGGACTCTACTCTGAGGTCAGTGGGAGGAGAGAGGGCTGCAAGCAAAGGAAAGAAGATCATGACACAAGCTTGAGAAACTTGATTAGATGCAGTGACTTCTTGAACTCTCAAGAGCAGTGCAGCGGTATTAAATCAACCTGGTGGTCAGCTGGTAAACTTGTTTTGCAGCGAAATGGAATTGGATACGCACAAGTGACAACGTTGCGTGTGATGGGGTTTCCACGGTTGCGTCCGTTGAAGATCGGCTGAACGCTGTAGGTGTACTGAGTTCCAGGAATCAGACCAAGGATATGAATATGTCCAGAGTCAGAAGTATCTTCTCTGGGAGACTCGCCTTCTTGGCTGGGGAGCACAGACAGCTGGGAGAAGGAAGCAGAGCTTAGTAACCTGCAAATACACCTCAAATATACAGCAAAGACAAATATTTCGTTATCTACCTTGTAGCTGAACCTGCGAACAGGTATCCAGGTGATGATGATAGAGCTGTCAGTGACCTCGGTGCTGATAGGAGGAGCATTTCCCATCTGGGGAGCTTGAAGGAGTATACAGAGTGGAGAAAAGTCAAATAAATTTCATTGCAACAATTTACAATCCTCTCTGCAGACGCCTTGTGTATTTTAGTACTGACAGGTAGTAAAATATCTGGTGACGCCTTCGCTGAGCTCATTGTCGAGGTCTGAGTGCAGGACGGCCGTGTACTGCGTGTCTGGACGTAAATTCCTCAAGGGGTACTGTGTGACCCTGCCAGGTATTCTCTTCTCGATGGGGCTGGAGCCCTCGAGGCTCAGGAAGAGACGGTAGCCACTGACGACGGCACGGGGAGCCTCCCAGATGACCATGGCGCTGTCGGGGCCAATGTCAGTGAAACGCACATCGGTGGGCGAATCAGGTTCTGGGGGTAGAAGATGGGTAGCATGTGTTAGATGGATGCCTTTCATTGTTTTAATCATTAGGCAGGCTCGTTTGTCTCGTTGGGCAATTCTTACTTGTAGACTTATCTCCCACAAGCGGCTTGCTCTCCACTCCACCGTTGATGGCGTAGATGTAGAAGCGGTACTGTGTGCCCGGCTGCAAGTGTGTGATATCAGCGTATGCGTTGGGCGAGGGAGACAGCTGCAGGAGCCTCGTCTCAGTGCCGTCAGGACCAACGGGGGTGAAGTGCACCTTGTAGCCGGTCAGCTCGGTGGGTGGACCGGTCCAGGTTATGGTCATCTTAATATCAGTAACCTCAAGGAACTGCAGGTCTGTGGGTGCCGGGACCTCCTCTGGGGACAGGAAGTGGTAGATTGATTAATGAAGGAGAGTCTGTCTTAAGATCACATTTTACAGATAGCACTTGTTTTTGTGAGTCAGTCCTAGTTTTGTTGAAAAACTAGAAAGTCACTGAAAGTCAACATAGCTTTAGAAAAAACTCCAACGGCAATATAATCTATAACCTTCATTATGGTTCATTTTGCAATGATCTTGGTCAAATTGCAGTAAAAGGGTCCAACAATTTACAGATCTCAACAATACCAACTCGGTTAAAACAAGAAATGTGAGAGAAAACACAAGGCGTCTGGAAAACAAATTGTAATTCAGAGTCAGATATTTCCTCATCAAACAGTATGTTTTAGCCGTGCCAGGCACAAGGAGAGTCCTGGAAGTACATTTTAAGATCAACTGATATATGTGTGTGTGTGTGTGGGTGTGCATGGTTGCTTTATATAACAGGTGGCTGTTCCTGAGCCCGCCATAAATTGAAGACAGTTCAGACTAACATTACAAAAGCAGTGGAACACTGAGGAGAAGATAAGAAGATATTACCATGGCATGGTTACAACCGTAAGAGTATATTTTGACAAAGCAGTGTTTTGACAAGCTCAGTCTTTCCCAAACACTGCAAAGCCCTTAAAGCTTCCTGGCCTTATAAGGAATTTTAGCTGACAGCATAAACTTACTCTGCTCTGATTTCAAAAGACAAAGAATGATAATGAAGAATTCTTTACCTTCTACAGAATAGATTGAAATACAGTGAGTGTTTTAATATGTAGAAATATGCACCTGGCACAGGGGATCCGGCGGTGTTGACCTGTACAAAAACAGGCTCACTCTCCTGCTCCTCCTCCACAGCGTAGATACTGATGTTGTAAAGATGACCGGGGAGAAGGTCAACAAGCGTCACTGATGTTTCTGAGTCTGGCAGGTTGAGCTCAGTGCTGCTGCCTTCCACTGACGGCGTGTACACCACCCGGTAACCTGGCAGACGCAGCCAGAACCGTTACAAACAGAGCTCCACACCAAACCAACTGCATTATGCACAAACACGTTTCCTACCAGTAATAGGAGCCTGAGGCCTGGACCACCTGATTCTGATAGAGGACTCTCCCACGTCATCGATAGCGTGCTGAGCAGGTGCGTCAGGAGCTAGAGAAGGGAGAGGCCACGTTTGCATTTTGTTTGGAAATGTAGTTGCTATCTTGTCTTATTTTTTTTCTTTCTTCCTACCTGTAGTCTGGGAGGTTGTCAAAATGAGGTTTGGTTCTCCTTGATCTGGGAGCTCGTAGACGTTGACGTTGTATCTGCGTCCTGGCAGGAGGTCAGCGATGGTGACAGTGGTGGCTGTGCGAGGAACATCTGGAGAAGGGGAAAAAAAGTTAAGTTAATAAGCATCATTATGTCCAATGAGCAGTTCTGCTCAAAGGCGATATTATTTTGCGAGTACATCGACTCACCAGATATTTAAATGACGACATTCATCAATACCTCGATTCATAATTAAATACACCCAATTGGGGGATTTTACCAATATTGCAAATAAACAAAAAAACTACCCAATAAATGGCCCCATTTAGTTATTTCAGTGTGACATTATGGGGTGTTTGGCAGTTTGAGTGATGCTCATAGGATCTCACCCAGGACCTTCGGCTTGGCACCGTCCTCACTGAGCTCGTACTCCACCCTGAAGCCAGAGACGGTAGAAGAGGCCGACGTCCAGGACACAACGAAGCTGTTTGATGTGATTTCTGTCACAGACTCAGAAGTGTCCGTCACCGCAACAGGCGAGGTTGTCTCTCCCTCCGATGTTTCCACTTGTGAGATAAAAGCACAACACGTTGCCGTGAAAAAAAAACCTTTGAATTTGTGTCATCGAAAGATTGCATTCACTCAGGTTCACTCACAGGAACCATGGTTGGTGGTGAAATCGAAACGCGTGACCTCACGGCGTCCGTAGCGGAGGATGCTGATCAGCTGACCCTCGTAGGTGATGCCTGGACGCAGCCCGCTGATGGTGTAGGAGTTGAGGTGGCTGGGAACGTTGACCTCCTTCCAGGGTGCGCGGGTATTTTTCTACCAGAAAGGGTGAGAAGATAAGAAGTTGATTGAAGTTTTTTTTGCTGATGAAGATCATGTGACCGATAGCTTTGTCTCAGCTGCTGCTTCAAAGCTCAAGGGTGGACTCAAACATGGACAAGAATACTATGAGTGTTCAGCAAAAGTTGAAAAGCTAAATTTACTTTACAAATGTAAAAACAAATTAGGGCTTTTTCCTTGGAGTGTGTGTTTGTGTATGTAGACTGAAAGGGGAGTTCACGTACCCTCTAATCACCATGTTTGTCCGTGTTCAAACTTCAGTCAACATTACCAAAAGCACTTCACTCTTTGTGCACTTTCACTGATGCCAGTCAGCAAATTTAAAAAGAAAACGTTTTTCGGAACCTGAACCAAAAGGGTGACTTACAATTCTCCATTTGAGGATGTACTGGGTGATTTCAACAGATGAGGGGGGGTTCCACTGAATGGGGTGGGAGTCTGGCTGTTTTCCTGCTTCTGTGATGATCACCTGGACGGGTCTGTGGCCGTCTGAGCAGCAGGTTGAGGGAGGAGAGAGAGAGAGAGAGAGAGAGAGAGAGAGAGAGAGTGAGACACAGAGGACAAAGCTTCTGAGAAAAGACACATTATCACACGTTATCGAAGACATGTAATGTAAGCTGAGGGAGTCTGGGTGGAAGCTGGCTACGTTTTGGTGAGGGTCTGTCAGATCGTTTGATCGCTTTGGGTCAGGATTAAACCACCAGACGGTGCCAAACCAGCTCAAACACCCACTGACATCTTAGCGTCCAACATAACACCGGGGCACTAGATTCATCACAGTTTACCTAGCTTGCATATAGCTTTTCAACTCCTTCTCTGCACACACAATAATCATGGGGCGATAAGTGATGCAACGGTAACGTTTGATCTAGGACACACATTGGGCTGCAGTACAAAGTACCACATTAGGCAACTTTTACCCAACAAGAGGGAGACATTGGAGGCAGGAAGTGTGTATAAAGAACCCCCCCCCGCCCCCTCGCCCCATCTGTGCCCAGCATCTCTTTCCCACCAGCTGAACAACAACAGGTTTACAACTACAAAGAAAGGAAGAAGACATGGGTGATTGGCATGCAATTCTCCATTTGACAAACTTAAAGTCCATAGTGATGAAAGAGAGAAGGTGAGAGAAGGGAGGGTTGAAAAAGTAAACCTCAAATTAAGCTTCAACAGCTGTGACTATGTGGAAATACTGCAAGACAAGACTACTGGAGGAATTAACACATCCTCAATTGAATAATGCTTAAGTAATAGAAATGAATAATCCCATCTGATAACATGTTATCCTGTAGTTTGCGAGGTTTGAAGGTTGAGCTTCATAGCAGCCAAAGTTATAGCAATTATATTAAATCAATTATCCACAAACTCAAAAAAACATTTGTGCTAACTTGGATCCAGCTAGCACAGAATTACTTTGATTCTGAAAGTCTTTAAGAAAAACTTCTTAAGGCACTTTTTATGAAGAATATCTGTCTAATAGTTCAATCTATGATTGTTTGTGTACTTATGCTACGTTTATTGGTAATGTCCATCTGGGAAAGAAGGTGAAAGTTCTGCTGAATGTAAACATATGTGTATCACATCTGTGAGTTGTGTATTGGAGGGTAAGAAGTCTGATCTTTGACCCAAATTGGTTATTTTTTTAATAATTAACGTCTGTTTGTTGCTGTGTGAATCATTAGAACTGTTAAACCAGCATTTTAAATATGGACCATGTGGACTCAGCCGTAAAAGAGCTGTGCAACAACTGAAGTGGAAAGCAGCGTTGAACTGCTGGCGTTTGGAAGGCCTTCCTTACCTGGGTAGGTCTGCTGAGGTTCACATCTCATCTCTCCGTTTCCGTTGCCGTAGCAGGAACAGCGGTATTTAATGCCATGGAGGACTTTATCCCATGTCTCTCCAATCTGATAGAAAGCCCTGGTTTGTGGTTCCTGACACTGATCTATTTGTTAAAAAAAACAGCGGGAAACAACAGATATTAGATGGGAAAAGAGAGGGTTGTATTTTCCAGATGAAAAAAGCATGCAAATTTCAATTTGGCAGGCGGGATAATGGGCCGCGGACGCACCGATTGCGTCACACTTCCAGCGTCCGCGTCCCTGTCCGTGGCAGGTGCAGTTCATCATGTAGCCCTCGTCGTGGCGCTTGTTGAATTCCTGGTTTACTTCATAGGACGAGCCATCAACAATACACTGATCTGCACATGGGGGAAAGGGGAGAGAAGTTAGCCTACCTTAAGGCGTCAAGACAAACCACGTCCAAATGGAGTCAGCGCTCTGACCTCGCAGCTGTGAGTGAGCGACACAGCTCCACTCCCCGCGGCCGTTGCCGAGGCAAGTGCACTCCATCATGTGACCCATGACGTCATGGCGTTTGTCCCACTTGTCACCTACGCGGTGCATCACTCCATCGTTGGTGGTGCATGACTCCTCGTGGGCTGCAGGAAGAGAGAAGGGAATAAAACTGTGTGCGTGCAGAATATTCTGCAAAAAAGGGAATTACTCTTTAATGCTACTTAATTCAAGTTATTATACATTTAACTGACAAGTATCAAGGTGGCTGCATGAGGAGGAACAACAACACACACACACACACACACACACACACACACACACACACACACACACAGGCACAGGCACAGGCACAGGCACTCACCGGCCATGGGGCAAAAGCCAAAGCGCTGCTCTGTGTCGTAGTCATGGGTGGTGCCACACCACCTCATGCTGTCCCGCCGCCCGTCAGAAGTGCAGTCGGTGTAGTTGCGGCCACTGTAGAGGAAGGGGAAGTGGCACAGGCCGCCGTTGGAGTTGCCACCTCGTGTTGCCACAATGGCTGTAAATGGAGGAATGAGGAATGTGATGGACGACATTGGCACCAATATTTCAATTTTAGATGTTAAATGTAGAAATACTCAGAAATTAACAGTAAATAATTAACATGCAATAAAAGGAGAGCATCAGCCAGACGTATCTACACACCAACGAAATGAAGCCCCGATTTTGTCTCACCATTCTTCTCAGTACAGAAAGAGTACTGCTGGTCCCTCTCATAGTCAGAAGATGTAGCGCACCAGAGCTGCCCGTCTGTGCGTCCGTCCGAGGTGCAGGAGTAGTAGGTCTTTCCCATATAGACGAACGGGAAAGCACACGGCTGTCCGTTTGAGTTGCCCCCATACGTAAGCGTCCTGGGCTCTGCACAGACCGGAAGAAGGAAGAACAAGAACCACTTAACGTCAGTCCACACAAAGCATCTGATAATGACATCATCCGGCGGGCTCTCAAAGGGATTTGATGTCGATGAAGCCCAATCAGGAACACACAACAGAGCTCCTCGCTTTCACTCACCCCACTCCTGGCAGCTGACTCCGTTGCCGAGGCAGGTGCAGAGCATCTGCGTGCTGCCCTGGCTTCTGAACCAGCGCTGTCCATCGTAGTAGGTGGATCCAGAGTCCGTACGGCACGTCCCCTCGATGAGGGGCTCCGGCAGCTGCTCCATCTGGGAATGGGTGGGGCCCAACACGATCGCACTGGTGGCTGCATGCCACCAAAACAGATTGAAAGAAGTTTGAGTGTCAGAGGTGTTTTTGCTTTTTTGGTACAATTGAACTTGAGCGAGCGCTATTTAAAAAAATCTCACTTCGGCCTGTGTTGTGTCTCTCGCACTTCCACTCTCCACGGCCATTCCCTAAGCACTGACACTGCTCAACGTGTCCACTCTTGCCCGTCTTTGTCCATGTGTCCCCGATGCGGTGGGACCTCATGGTGTCCTGGTCGTTGCAGCGGTCTGGTTGGAGAATAAACGGTGGTCAGCAGCCGCTACTGGGGAAGGCCAAAGGGTGTGTTTGTGCGTTTATACTTCTCTTACTCCTGGAGGTGCAAGTGATGCGTCCATTTCCCTCCCCCAGACAGGTGCAGTCCAGCATCATCCAGCCTTGGTACATTTTCTCCCAGGTCTCCCCCACGACGTAAAATGATGCAGCGTTGCTGTCGTAGCAACGCTCAGCTGCAAAGGTAACACAAGGGGATTAATGGCATCTCCAGCGTGTCACGAGATGCGGTGCGATATCCGACATTAAATCACGGCGTCGGGAGATTTCCCACATGTTCAAACGAGGCACTCACACACTGGCTTGCAGGTCCACTCTCCTTTGCCATTTCCAAGACACACACACTCCAGCATGTAGTCAGCCGTCTCATGAGGCCTCTGCCAAGTGTCCCCGATTTTATAAGACCTCACGCCTTCATGGCAACGATCTGTGAAGGGAAAAGTGTATTTAAAATAAACTAGGATAAAAGGATAGTTGCATTGGTTTGAAAAGATGTTATAAATGTGCATTATGACAAATCAATTCAACTCCATCATTCAGATTGTGTATTTAATGACTAGCATACAGTTTTACCAAATGTCCAGCTCGAACAGCCCAACAACAGCTGAATTTTCTCCCAACTCACTTGCAACGGTGCAGCTGATCTTGCTGCGACCGGAACCAATACAGGTGCAGTCCCACATCATCCCGTCCTTTGACCTCTCGTAGTTTTCACCGATCCGGTATGTGCGGTCGTTGTACCTATCATAACAGGACTCCTCCACTGAGAGAACAACACACAAAACATCCACGGTAAACACTTTGATATCGCAGTGGACGTTTGTATTGCTGCGTAAAGACGCTGCAATGACAAGTCCCCAAGTAACATCAGTCATGATCTTAACTCAGTTATGATTTACTTTTGTTTTTATTATTCAGCAGTTGGTATTGACACCACATTTCTGAAACAATTGATGCTGCATTTGTGTGTGTCGGAAGTGAGATGGTCTGCTGAGACATTTCTGACCGGTCGGTCAGGGATCACTGACCATCCGGTCGACTTTTACATCTGATGCCTGCTGCTCCGTTGCAGGTGCACTGCAGGGTGGTGCTAAGGTAGGGTTTCTCCCACTGCTCGTTCGGCCTGTACGAGCGACCGTTTTCCTCACAGCCAGCTGGAAATCACACGTCACACACGCAGAATGCATCACATGAATGCCGGTTACATCTCATCTGGCGTAAATTCCCGTTATGTCATTGCACTTTACATTGCTCTCTAAAGCATAACAGCACAGCCTTTGTCTTCTCACAAGTTGTCGTACCGACCTGGAGACACGTCGTCCGCGTCGTCGAGCTGAGGGAACACCTGATGCTGGCCGCTTTGTCTGCGGCTCTTCTTTGGTAAGCCGTGGACCGCGCTGCTTACGCACAGCGCCACCAGTAACCCCGTCAGTGCGCCGCCGGGCATTTTGGGGGAAGATTCGGCTTTCAAGGTGAGCGGAGCAAGTTTTAGAAGAGAGGTAAAGTTTCGCCTGGATGTGGGTCTAATTCCCGTCCCTTGCTCTGGAATCCCCGCCGCCACCGAGCAGCTGGAGCATCAGGCCGGGCAGAGGGGAGCGCGCTGCCTTTATACGCGAGGGGGAGGCGCTGCGACCGCAGCCCGGGATGACTCGTCCGAGTGGGAGCGAGTGTGACACTCGACACTCCACTTTCCAAGAGGGAGCGTCACGGGAAAAGAAAGAACGAGAGTTTATGAAACTGCGTGAGGAGGTCGTTGGTGGTCAAAACATCAATTAAATGCACTGCGGCCGCTATAGAATCGCCATAAAATTGCAAAGAAAGACACGTGATCTATCATTTTTTTAGCTCTCCCAATTTAAAAAAACAAACACAATGATAATATCAGGTAATATCAGGTAATATCAGGCTGTATGGTGACTTTTGGTTGTGCAGAACGCTTTGTACGTGTTTTCCTTTCTGCATCCCAGATACAACACAGCAGCTTGCTGATGGGTGAGGAAGAGAGGAACTCCAGACTGTAGGAGGTCACAGTTTGGCAAATAACATCATTTTCCTTGTTCACCGGCTGTTAGTCACTGACAGCTTTTCATTCATTTCCCCTATTAAAAATAAACAATATCGGATACCACCTTAACGCCTTTAAGGTGCTGTGCTACTCTAAACAGTATTATGAAACACCTGAGCCGGTCTCACCTCAATCATATTTACCTCCTACATACACATTGAACCCTGCTCCACATCCATCAGTGTTTCCTCTCTTCATTTGTCATCTGGCTGAGTGCAGCGCAATGGAGAGAAAAACAAGACTCGCTTCTTCTTATCCGAGGAAGCTCAATCCGATACAGCTTGTTTGTATTACTTTTCCAAGCAAAACCATAGTGTTCAGTTGGAAAGTGCAATGCACTGTTGTAAAGCTACTGTTCTGAAATCAACAACTGATTTTGTTGCAAGTGTACGCCTTATGTTTATGCTTTGAAGACAATTGTGTTTTGAAAAACTCAACGTAGTAAATGTTCCCCGATCATCAAGCGAATATACAGTGTTAAAACTGAAACCATCAGCCACCTAAATTAATGCGTGCACTTCTGTGTGTAAGTGTGTGTATGTATTAAAGACAGCAACAGGGTGAAGAGTATAATTCACATATTCACGCACAATTCCAGATATGTAGAAATACATATGCTCATTCCCTTTAATTAACCAGCAACATGTTTTAACATGTTTTAGGTCTTATGAGTGAAAACAACATTCTGTGGCTTCACTGTTATTATACAACATGTGTGATATTTGCTTGGTCTTTGTTCTGCACCCACCAAAGGGCAGTCGGGTTCATTTGTGGGAAGTTGGAAACAATCCTTTGCCAAGAGCTGAAATGTGCAAAAAGCGGGAAATTACAAGCCGTGGTCTCGTGGCGTTGGTTGCGCTCTGCGGCCTGGAGAGCAGCTACTGTCAGTGAGGCCGTGTCAGGATTCCTATCGCTTGGGGAACGAGGCGTAACTGAGGCCTGAAAAATGAAACAGATGATTTTGGGGAAACGGAGAGAGAGAGAAAACTGCAAAAACACTAAACTGGTGTTTAAAATGAGCAACTGAGTCACCAATCTGCCGTGTGGAAAAAGCCTCCACATACTTTCCACTTGTGAATCAGTGCCAAGTGGTGGAGGATCCAACGACAGAACGCTTTAAAGCTGCAAAATCTCACCTTCAAAAATGTTGTTTCTATATATTCAATGATGTAATATAACACACATTCCCTTATTCATGCACTTATGCAGTATCAAGGAGGAATTGGTGTAAAACAACTTATAAATGGTTGTGTGTGTTTCGGGGAATGACTTAATTTCCTGGGCTGTTTGGTCTCACAATGAGATTTATGAGCTGTCGAAGTCTCTGGAAAGCTGCCTGGCCTGAATCAAAGCGATTCAGCTCGTCACTTCACGGTCGGCTTTCCATACATCAACCTCCAGCATCTATATTTCAGCAGATACTTATCTCCACTCAGGCCCGAATTTGGGAGGAGAAACCGGTCTGACTTTGCTGGAGAGCTTTTTCTACAGCATGACGTAACCCCTCAGATGTTGTTTTCAAGTCAAAGTTGACTAAGTACTTGCATGGGAATAAAGTAGATTGATTTGGAAAATCTGCAGGGCATCACCAAGCAGCCATAATGTATCTTTGGCAAAATGGAACGTGTGTTCCCTCAAAATAGATTTTAACGCTGCATGGTTTGTGCACCAATTGTGCAGTCTGAGCACTGAGCACCAAACCAGGAAACAGTTGGATTGACTCTGACCAAAGGTAACAAACTGCATTTAATGCTCAATTCTCCCTCAACCTGGCGTCGCCGTTCTTACAACAATACAGGACAGTCAAACAACTCTCCACCCAGGCTCCACCAAACTGTGGGCGGGTGAGAATGTGAGCCAGATGGCCACAGCTGGATGAATAATTAAGAGGCGTCGTGAAGCGACAGATAGGGAGAAGAAAAGTGGAGAGCAGCAATGTGAGATCGTGCCTCATCCATCTTCTCCTGTTCTCCTCCAACTGGAGTAGAAGAAACTCGCATGTTTTGCCAATTTCACATCTTTCAGCTAAAATGCGAACAGTTCACTCGAATGCCTGAATCGGTGCCGCGGGTGCAGAAATGTGCGGTTGAGCAAACTAATTTGCGGTTGTCAGCGCTCCGCCGCCGCCGCCCCTCGTCATCGCCGACGTCTGAATGAGTCACGGCGTGAAGAGCAGCTGCCGACCTGCTCACGACAAACGGCAAAGGTTGCAGACGGCTCGTGTGGGGACGAAGACTCTGACAAAGCACCTCGGGACATTTCACAACGCCCTGCCAATCTGCAGGGTCACCGTGGAAACCAGATGGGGCGGGTCCGCTTAAAGAGGATGAACGGCTTTGTGTCCTGACCTTGTGTCTCCAACTCAGAGAGGACGGGTTTTTGTTGAATGAAGCTCCTGGTTGCATTTAAAAGCAAATACTCTTCTGAAGGGATCTGAGAGTGAAAAAGAAAGGTTATATTGGGGACAGTAAAGTTAAACAATTACTCTGGCAGTTTAACAAAAGGATGCTAAACCCATCTGAAGGGCTGAGGGGAGCTGTAGCCTCGCTGTGATTCGCTGTGGGCTCTGAAAAACAAGTTTACAACCTTAACAGACATTTTGTTCATGGTACTGGAATGCGTGCAATGCGGTATGAACGTCTCCCACCTCTTCTATCGCTGTAACCGTGGGTGCATCCTGATAGAAGAACAGGCCTAACGCTGAAGAGCTTCAGCCCCGCGGGCCTCTGCCCTGCACCTCTGCAGACGGCTGAGTTTAGTCACAGCTCACTCAAAAGACCGGTGCCATTTGCAGGACAGCAGTCTCTATTGACACTTATGCATCCGCCTCGGTTTCCACACCGTGACACGACGTGCAAATGAGGACAAACTTAATAGAGTAACATGTGTGTTTGGCGTTTGTGTGAGAGAGGAGGAGGAAACAGAGGAAGATGTGGTCATGGTGGAAGTATAGGCTGTCTGTTATTACAGCTTCCGTGAAGAATTCCCTCCATGTGAGAAGGAGGGAAACGTGGAGGAAACAAGTCTGCATCTTGTTTACCCGCCGGAATAAAAAAATAGATTTGTTCGAAACGTCTGAGCCTTTTCCTGTTGTCAAGCCCACTAAGATTGATCTGACGGAACGGAGCCCACCATACGTCACGTTAATGAATTCACGATGAGGCCGCAGGAGGAGAGGTGATGATATTCACACGGATGGGGCACATTTCCAAAGACTGACACTCAGCGAGTCGCTCGGAGTGACCTCGAGCGGCGGTGTAACCTGCTGGTGTGTGTCTGCGACGTGCGTTGGTGCACTACGACCCTCGCAGTAACCCGCTGAGGAGATTGTCCTCTAAACCTCCTGCAGGAAGGAGACAGAGGGAGACTTGAGCCAAATCTTCGGTCGGGGGCGTTTAAACAGACGACGTCTATGCGGAGGCGAATATGTCAGCCAACACTCGAGAGAAAGTTATGCAGGAGAACAAAAAGACGTTGTTGTGGTTGAAAACATACGTTGATTCCCGTCTGCAGTAAAGACCGTTTGTGGCCCAAATGCTGAGCCGATGTGGATCCATGTGGCAGCTGTTTAACGTGGTTAAAGCATTTAGCTCAAACCAGTAAGCAGTTTGCATTATGTTCTGTTTCACTTTATTAGACAATGGGTTGTTTTCTCTTGACATGCACACGGCACAGAGCAACAGCTGGGTACGTTCCAGCTGTGACCTGCCTGACGACTTCACCGATGTGACTGCGCTTAACGAGACCCCGTCAGCTCAAAATGTATTGTTTGTTTCGTTGTTTTCCCATTGTTGCCACACTCCCTCCGCTCTGCCAGTTTTTGCTTTTTAAACCCAGAGGAAAAACTATTTCCCATCCAAAAACGCTTTTGTCAAAACTCACCGACTTTTCCCTCCATAGTACACACAAACATGCAATTATTACTAAATAGTTCCTGCAAGTGAGCACTTTCCAAAGCAGTGAGGGGAAACATTAACTGAGCAACTTGCTTTAAGCATCCCGATGACTCAGTCATTCCCGTCTAGACGACATGGACATGCCAGCTAACCTGGGGCTCTACGGAGGAGGAGGAGGAGGAGGCTCACCTGTCTCACTCCAGGTGAAGTCAGACTGTTTTGGGAAATCTATGACAAGCTCCACTGCCTCTATCAACATCACATGGTGGCGTCGTGGCGGGAATCACTTACTAACAGAGAGAGAACAGCCGTTGTTGTTTGAGTGCGGGAACCACGGAACGGCTCGTTCCCGAACCGGCGAGGAGGAGGTGTACAGAAGGACCACCGCATTGCCCTCAACGCACACACAAAGTCAGACGCCTCCACAAACATGCACGTCCACAGAAACGCAGACACCTCAGCAAACACAGTCTGCACATTGGAGCGCTGCACACGGTCACGTCCGGATCTGCCGGATGAAAAGGGAAGTTGAAAAAGTAGCTTCCGTTCGATGCTTCTCGCTGCCAAATCTTTCATCCCTGTCTCAGGTTTTGCAGACACACTTGTGTTAGCATTCTGTTTT